TCTTCTGGGTCTTTATATACCTGTCCTACCTGACAGGGTGAAATTGAGCCCCTGGAGCAGCACTGTTCCTTGTGATTGTTTATTTCTTCTATAACTTTAGGAAATTACACAGCTTTGTAGCTGTTGACTAAGCATCACTAGGAATCTTATTAGAATAAATGACTTACTTGGTTCCTCTAGTGGATTCCTCCAGTCTTTTTTTTCTGAGACAATTGAAAATTTATCTTCAAGGATGTTCCTAATCATCAGAGAAGCATCAACCATCATTATGCAGAGTAGCTTCTTCACATGATCATCTGATGATATTAGTCTTGTTGTGAAGAAGAATTAGAACCAATAGGAGGAACCATAAGAAAGAAGGAATAATTCAAAACAGAAGGAAAAAAAAGCAAATAGTATGCTTCAATTTGCATTCCAACTCCCTAGTTCTTTCTCTGGATGTGAATAGCATTTTCTGTCTTGAGACTTTTGCAGATGTCTTAGATCCTTGTATTGCTAAGAAGAGCTAAATCTATCAAAGTTAGTCATTGTACAATGTTCTCTTGGTCCTGCTTATTTCACTCAGCACCAGTCCATACAAGTCTTTCCAAGTTTTTCTGAAGTCTACTTGCTCATCATTTCTTATAGTACAATAGTATTCCATTACATTCATATACCACAGCTTGTTCAGCCATTCCCCAATTGACATGCATCTCCACGATTTCCAATTCTTTACCACCACAGAAAGACCTGCTATAAATATTTTTGTACTTGTGGGTCATTTCCCCATGTTTATGATCTCTTTGGGATATAGCCCAACAAGTGCTATTGCTGGGTCAAAGGGTATAACCTTTTGGGCATACTTCCAAATTGTTCTCCACAATGGTTGGATATATTCTCAACTCCACCAGCAATGTATTAGTGTTCCAATGTTCCCACATCCTCTCCAACATTGATCATTGTCCTGTTTCATCATGTTAGTCAATCTGGTGGGTATGATGTGGTACCTCAGAGTTGTTTTGATTTGCATTTCTCTAATCAATAATGATTTAGAGCAGTTTTCTCATATGAATATAGATAGCTTCGATTTCTTCCTCTGAAAACCACCTGTTCATATCCTTTGACCATTTATCTATTGGAGAAGAACTTCTATTCTTATAAATTTGACTTAGTTCTCTATTTTTTTTAGAAAAGAAGACCTAATCAGAGACACTGGTTATAAAAATTCTTTCAGTTTTCTGCTTCCCTCCTGATCTTGATTGAATTGGTTTTGTTGGTGCAAGAACTTTTCAATTTAATGTAATCAATGTTATCCAATTTACATTTTGTAATGTTCTCTATCTCTTCTTTGGTCATGAATTCTTCTGTTATCCATAAATCTGATAGGTAAATTATTCCTTGCTCTCCCAGTTTGCTTATAGTATCAGCCTTTCTATCTAAATCATGAACTCATTTTGACTTTATTTTGGTATATGGTAAAAGGTGTTGGTCTATGCCTACTTTCTACCATACTCTTTTCCAGTTTTCTCAGCAGATTTTGTCAAATAATAAGTTTTTTATCCCAGAAGCTGGGGTCTTTGAGGTTATCAAACAGTAGATTATTATAGTCATTGGCTACTGTGTCTTGCATACCTATCCTGTTTCACTGATCCACCACTCTTTTTCTTAGCCTGTACCAAGTAGGTTTGATGATTGTTGTCTTATACTACAATTTGAGATGTGGAATGGCTAGACCACATTCCCTAGTATTTCTTTTCATTAGTTTGTTCTTCCAAATGAATCTTGTCATTATTTTTTCTAGTTCTATAAAATAATTTTTGGTAGTTTGGTATGGCACTGAATAAGTAAATTAACTTAGATAGAATTGTCACCTTTATTATATTAACTCAGCCTACCCATGAGCAACTTATGTTTTTCCAGTTATTTAGATCTAAATTTATTTATGTGAAAAGCGTTTTGTAATTGTGTTCGTATGATTCCTGGGTTTGTTTCAGCAGGTAGACTCCTAAATATTTTATAATGTCTACAGTAACTTTAAATGGAATTTCTCTTTCTCTCTTGCTATTGGGCTTTGTTGGCAATATACAGAAATGCCAGTGGTTTATGTGGGTTTATTTTATAACCTGCAACTTTGCTAAAGTTGTCTATTATTTCAAGTAGTTTTTTTTTACAGGTGAAGTAAATGTGGAGGGGGTGGAGAATAGAGAAAAAAACAAGAATCTATCTTTTTTATTATTTGATAGAATGGGCATCCTATCAACATTCGACATGGACAATTTAGAGACTGTGGATCTAATGGAAACTGTTGAAATAGATAACACAAACATTTTCTAAATGTTTCACTTGCACAATGTGGGTTGTTAATAACACTATGCAAGTGAGGTAGTCCAGTTCTAGATCTAAAGGAAAAGGAACACAATCACAGTCCCCTATGTGGTTTATTGATGGTTTACAAAAGACTGAAGAAATAATCACTAACAACACAGGATGCAAGGATGTGCTTTTACCTCACAACCACCCTTGAGGCCACATGCTGGTCTAGGTCTGAGAAACAAAGCCACCCACATAGCTAAAATCACAAAATTGGTTCTACTTCTGTAGTTACTTCTGAAGTCTACTTCTGTAGACTAATTTGAAGAAGCTCAAAGCTGTTAAGAACCTTACTACTTTATGTAGAGGGGTTTTTATTTAAAGAGAACTGGAACATTTAACAACATACCAACATACCTCAATCCAAGGGAGGCAAACCCAATGCACCTTTGAATATAGCATTCACAAAAGAAGTTTTTTTTAAAGAGGTTTCTAAGAGATACCCATAATTTCATTAGCTTAGGAATTCCATTTGCAGAACTCCCTCTTCCTCTACCAAAGCAGATTGGCAATTACTTTGCAATGAAGGCAGTGACTTCTGAAATGACTTATCCAGAGTCAAAGAACCAGTATGTTACAAAAATCTTCCTTACTACAAAGCCAGTCCTCTATTACCACTGCACTGGCTTTTTATGAGTAGCCTAGATAAGGATAAAGGCAAAGACCTAGCATTCTTTTGGTTTCAGATTTTTCACATATGGACTCAACAGTCTTTCTATCTGATCTTGGTTCTATGTCCCCTTTTATTCCTCTGAGGAAAGGGGCTTAGCTTAACCAACAAGAAGTTTTACAGAAAGTTGCACCAAAATATGTCACCCCAAAATATGTCTCTTCAATTTCTTTTAAGGCATTAGACCTGGAGGAAAGGTCTTAAATCTTAATATGTCATATAGCAGAGAAAATATATGGTTTGGATCCAGCAATGAAGGTGCTACTTCAGGAAGACACCCTTTTTCTGAAGACTATTGGTCCTCCTTTGTCATTTCATCCTCACTGGTACAGTAGAAGAACAGGCCAGGGTGCTCCAAAGTTGACTCTATCTTCTTTTTTTTTTTGGCAATTGGGGTTAAGTGACTTTCCCAGGGTCACACAGGTAGTAAGTGTTAAGTGTTTGGTCTGAGGACTGATTTGACCTCGGGTCCTCCTGACTTCAGGGCCAGTGCTCTATCCACTGCACCACCTAGCTGCTTTCCTGGCAGGTGGTGCCTAGTTTCTCTTTCTAATACTTCTATTAATGGGATATTCATGACTGTTCTGATAGAAACATAGGATCTCCCTCCCTGTTGCTCTCTCTCTTTGCTCTCTCAATCTGTCTCTCCTTCTCAGTCTATCATTCTCCATGTCTCTGTGAATCTGGATCTAGTTCTGCTTATCTTGATATACTTTTATATCTCTCTGTCAATCAGTCTCTCTTGATCTCTGTCTCTCAGGAGGAGAGAGTGAGGCTGATGACTATGCATAGCTATGCCTCACTTAAATCTAACTTATTTACAAGTCAAAACATCACCCTCCTGATGTCTTTGGTCCTCTTCAAGAATGAAAGATGAACAAAAATCTGTGAGTAATAGTAGCTGCACCTCTGGGGGCCCAAGAAGCCAGTTGCAATTGGGGAATGTTGCTATTTTTTTCCTCCTATTCATTCTCTTCCTCCTCCTTCTCCTCCCCCCCACTTCCTCTGACCACATGAGGTATCACATGCGGGCACCTTATCCAAAGGAATATAAATTTTGATTGTTTGAACTTTGCTAGGGATTTGGTTTGGGGGGCTAGATTTTTTTCTTCCCTACTTAATTATTCCATAATTGTTTTTTTTTTAAACTGGGATGATTAAGTATTTTGTCTCATGCTGTTTTTATTTATGATTTCTTGAAATGCAATTCTGGAAAACCGGGCTTATAAAAGCCCATTGGGATTCAAATGTAGCTACTTGACTATGCTTTTAAACCCAAATCCCCCTGGCTCTCACTGATTGGCCAATAATTGTCCCCAGCTCAAGCCTCACTTGCTCATTGTTTGAGTTTTGATGGCTGAGACTATGAGCAAATAACAATTATTTCTCTTCTGGCCAGAAACTCTAAGGGACTCCTCCTCCCAGATTTATTCTTTTGTGAAGACAAAGTAGATCATCTTTTACCTCAATTCTTACCTAGCCTTTAACTACTGAATGGGTGTTGCCTCAGAAAAACTGAGGCCTGGGAAAGACCTTATTATAAAAAGGCCAAGGACTCCCACTGCATTCTGGGTCATCACCAGTCATTGTAACCTATATCCTGTCACTGAACACAGATGACTCTGGAGGAGACAGTGGGGCTGCTGACTTTGCACAAATCTGCCTCATTTAAATCCAACTCACTTGCAAGTCAAGACATCACCCTTCTAATTACTTTGGTCCTCTTGGAGAACAAAGGACAAACAACAACAACATCTCTGTCTCTCTATGTCTCTCTGTCTCTGGCTCTTCATATTTGTTGTTTGTTTTTGTCTCTGTCTCTGTGCCTCTCTGTATCTGTCTTTCTGTCTCTTTCTGTGCAGTGAATGTCTTTTTGTCTCTCTATCTCAATCTCTCTGTGAGTGTGGCTGTGGCTATCTCAGCTCTGTCTGTGGCTGCCTCTCTTTATCTCTTCCTCTCCATATATATACATATATAACTTACACTCACACATAAAACATTATACAAATGCACACATATATGTGAATATATATGTAAACTATACATATATAAATATAAAAATATAAATGAGTGCATAATATATTCCAAGTCATTTGGATTTTATCTCCTCCACTAGAATGTGAGCTCCTCTAAGGTTAGAACTATTTTGGTCTTTTTTTTTTGCATGACCAGTGCTCATCCTGGTGCCTAGCACATAGTAAGCTCATAATAAATGTTTGTTTACTAACTGTCTCTTTCATAGGATCATAGGATCAGAGACTTAGGCCTGGAAAAGACCAAAGAGGTCCTCTAGGCTAGCTCCTTCATTTTGCAGATGAGGAAAAGGGAGGCCCAGGAAGGTCAGCTATCATGCCTATGATCACAAAGAAAATAAATAACAGAGCCAGGAGATAAATATCATTCAGCTGCCATTTTCCTACCATTGGTCCCAAAGGTATGGAGAGATCAACACATATTGATTGCTATTAGTGGGCAAAGAATTCAATTCTTTGGATGACTTATAAATGTAGATTAATATCACTGGTATTATCACCTACACCATCATTAACATCAGTACTTCACACATTTACGAGGACAAGGAAGTTTATGCAAATGAGCAGAGTTTATTAAGAGACAAGAAAGGAAGGCATACTGGTTTTATGAGACCCTCTAAGAATATCCATAAAAAGAAAGTGAGAATATAGAGGAAATATGATGACAATCATTTGGAAGCATTCTTAAGTGTAAGAAAAATTGAGTGGTTATGAAGAACAGAATCTCAGGAATTAATTCTTAGATTATAATTGGTCAGATCATGATCATAAAAAGTCACTTCCTCTCCATCACAGCTTTTTGATCGGAATGAAGGGTAAGGTAACAAGACAGATGTGGAAAGGCAGAGCCTTGGCCAGCTGGAACAATGCAGCCCATTGATATGGACCCGAGAGCTCACTTACAATGCTGTCACCACATAATGTGACAGAAGAGCACTAGATGAGAGTGGATGATGCTACATACAAGGGAGTCTAAGCCCTTCAACAGAATCATGGTGGAGAGAAAACTAATCAGTGGGAGAGAGGTTGATAACAAAAGTGTAGAATAGGAAGATGGCTGTCTCTAAGTAAAATCACTGCACTTTTTGGAAAGCAAGTTGATCAACAGCAGGATGGATGGCAACAGCTGGAGACACAACAGACAGGCCTGCAGCAGGGAGTCTGGCACCAGAATGTTCTGCAGCATACTGGTTGACAGCATGAAGGCTGGCAACAGCTAGAGTCACAGAAGCACGGTTGGCAGCAAGTTTTACAACAGCTGGGCACACAGCAGGTCTGCTCACAACAAGTTGTTCGGCAGCAAACTGTTCTGCAGCAGGTAGGTTGGCAACATGAAGGCTGGCAGCAGATGGACATGCAGCAAGATGGCTTGCAACAGGTTGTTCTACAGCAGACTGTCTTGCAGCATGTTGGCTGGCAACAGGTGGGAGCACAGCAGCTGGTGGGAGCAAAGCAGCAGGAGCTGGCCATGGTCTTGGTGGGCGAGGTTTCTGCTGAGTAGCAGAGGAAAGTTTCCAGGAGTCTGAGAATGCCTCCTCTTCTGGGTCTTTATATACCTGTCCTACCTGACAGGGTGAAATTGAGCCCCCAGAGCAGCACTGTTCCTTGTTATTGTTTATTCCATTGGTTCTATAACTTTAGGAAATTATGCAGCTTAATAGTTTTTGATAAGCATTACCATGAATCTTATTGAGTGCTTTCCTCCACTGGATTAATCCAGTCTTTCTTTCTTAGACAAGAGAAAATTTGTTTTCAAGGAAGTCCTCAATCATCAGGGAAGCATCAACCATCATTATGCAGAGTAGTCTCTTCACATGGTCATCTAATGATAATAGATCATAGGTAAGAAGAATAGCCTCTTGTTTTCCCTTTCTGATTTTAGTGCTTTAAAATCCAAACAATGGGATTCTACTGAAGCAGTCAGCCTCAGTGAAGTCTCAGTGGAGAAGAATTTAGTAAGCACTTACTAAGCACTGGAACAAACAGAAAGGCAAAACCACAGTCCCTGTCATCAAGCTCACCTAACAGGGGAGACAACATGTACAAAATAGTACATAAAAGATATAAATAGTATAAATAGATGGTAATCTCAGAAAGAAGTTACGAAAGGTAGCAAAGACTAGGAAAGATCATCTGAAGAATGTGGGATTTGTGGTGATTTTTGAAAGGAAACCAGGAAATAGAGGTGAGAGATTAGAGTGTTAAAGGTATGGAAGAAAACTAGTTAAGGCACGTGGAGTGTCATGATCCTACATGTAAAGAACCCAGATAATAAATGATAGGAAATTGAGAGAAAAAAGCATAAGAGACTGGCACTACATGCATGGAAATTCCCAAGAACAGAGCACCTTGGATGGGCAGGTTTTATTCACTTCCACTGCACTGGAAAGCAAAGCATTGTCACCACCAGAGG